GTTTCGAGAAGCTTATCCATATTTTGTTCAGATAAGTGGCATCTCTTTCGAGAAGCTTATCCTTCTTTTTCGATAAGTGGCAGTCTCGTTCGAGAAGCTTATCATCTTTCAGATAAGTGGCATCTCCGTTTCGAGAAGCTTATCCTTCGTTTTCGATAAGTGGCAGTCTCGTTCGAGAAACTTATCATCTTTCAGATAAGTGGCATCCCCGTTTCGAGAAGCTTATCCATCTTTTGTTCGGATAAGTGGCATCTCTTTCGAGAAGCTTATCCTTCTTTTTTGATAAGTAGCAGTCTCGTTCGAGAAGCTTATCATCTTTCAGATAAGTGGCATCTCCGTTTCGAGAAGCTTATCCTTCTTTTTCGATAAGTGGCAGTCTCGTTCGAGAAGCTTATCATCTTTCAGATAAGTGGCATCTCCGTTATGAGAAGCTTATCCATCTTTTGTTCGGATAAGTGGCATCTCTTTCGAGAAGCTTATCCTTCTTTTTCGATAAGTGGCATCTTCGTTTCGAGAAGCTTATCCATCTTTTGTTAGGATAAGTGACATCTCTTTCGAGAAGCTTATCCTTCTTTTTCGATAAGTGGCAGTCTTGTTCGAGAAGCTTATCATCTTTCAGATAAGTGGCATCTCCGTTTCGAGAAGCTTATCCATCTTTTGTTCGGATAAGTGGCATCTCTTTCGAGAAGCTTATCCTTCTTTTTTTGATAAGTGGCATCTCCGTTTCGAGAAGCTTATCCATCTTTTGTTCGGATAAGTGGCATCTCTTTCGAGAAGCTTATCCTTCTTTTTTCGATAAGTGGCATCTCCGTTTCGAGAAGCTTATCCATCTTTTGTTCAGATAAGTGGCATCTCTTTCGAGAAGCTTATCCTTCTTTTTCAATAAGTGACATCTCTTTCGAGAAGCTTATCCTTCTTTTTTCGATAAGTGGCATCTTCGTTTCGAGAAGCTTATACATCTTTTGTTCGGATAAGTGGCATCTCTTTCGAGAAGCTTATCCTTCTTTTTCGATAAGTGGCATCTTTGTTTCGAGAAGCTTATCCTTCTTTTTCGATAAGTGGCATCTCTTTTGAGAAGCTTATCCTTCTTTTTTGATAAGTGGCATCTCTTTCGAGAAGCTTATCCTTTTCTTGGTGATACATAAGTCCTTTTATAGTGATAAGTGGCTATCTCTTTTGAGAAGCTTATCTAAAAGGCGTTTCCAAGTAAAGTCCAATCATTTTGGCACACAGAAGAGTATAATTACCCTGTATCTTTCCTGATGTTCCCTGAAGATCCTGTTTGATCTCTTCGTTTAAGGAATTTCCAGAAGTTTGTTTTGCTTGCATGATCCTATTTCTATGTGGGTCCTGCTTTACCTTTTGTCCTTGTGTGTCAGTCGTTCATGCCTGAACCCGTTGACCAATCAATTTAGATTTCCTCAGTTATTTTCTTTTCACCTATGTTTGGTCATCCCCAGTGAGTTTACTACTCGTTGTGTCGACTGTATCCTCGTGTGCTTCCTTTCTTTGTCTGCTTTGTGCATTTATCATCCCATCATCTTCATCATGATAGAGTTCATTGCATGTCAGCATTGCATATTTTCTCTTTTGTGCATAGCATAACATGTCATATGCATTCATGATCAAAATTCCAGGTTTCTTGATATTTAACTATCTCCCACGGTGATCTTATGAAGAATGAACTTCTTCATACTCTCTAGTTGAAGATAATTAAATAGGGGCAACTGTTACACCCTAATTTTGACCCTGAATTGCCTGTTGTACATATCATAGCATTTTCATCATTTGTGTATCATATCCATTATTCATGTCATCTACCATTGTGCATATAAAATTTTGTACCTTTTGTTCCGTGTTGTTTAAGCTCAAGTTTTGCAAGATTGAATCAAGGGTCAGGCAATGTTATCAGGTTAAGTAGGTGTCCAGGCTTGGTTGAAATTTAGTGGAAGTTTGACCTAATCTTGGTCAAACAAGTGGCTTATTTCTATATCAAGTTATCGGGTTGTGGCAAAGACAGTTGTTGTTTCAAGGAGACCTGACTTGCAATTAGGGTTTTGGTGCAATGGTAGCACAATTCGTATCTCAGGTCGCTTGTGTTATGGATCATTGTGATGGGTAAGGAAGTGTTAGAATTCAAGTGATCTATGTCTGAAAATTGTCAAGTGATCAGGGTTAGGGTTTTGTGCCAGATAACAAGTTATCTGTTGAGGTCAAGTTGCGTCAAGTCATTTGCAAGTGCTGATAGTGCAGTTCATGTTCTTGCTATAGGAGAATTCAAGCTTCCTATTCAATTCAAGGCCATTCAGGATTTCGTCCATTGACAAATTTCCAACAAAAAAAATATTCCCAAATTCTATTTAATTTCTCTTTCCAATTATTTCAATTCCATCCATTTTCAATTCATAATCACATTTTAAATCCCCTTCAATTTTAACTCATTCAAGTTTAATTTCCATTCAAAATCCAAATTCTAACTTCATTTCAATCCAAATTAATTCCAATCCATTTGAAAGTGCAATTCCAAATTTCATCAAATTCAAGCTCAATTTCATTTTAAAGTCTCAAAGTTCAAGTGTCTAATTTCTTTCCAATTTTACTGGGTTTCAAGATTAAGTTCAATTAAAAAAAAATCAAATTCGTGTTTTAATTCAAATCCAATATTAATTTCCAAATCACAGTCCATTTCAAGTTCATATTCAAAATTCAATTCTTTGTCAAGTTTAAAAACCCATCCCATAAATTTATGAACTCTTTTCATGTCAAGATTACGAGTTTCATTTTTCATTCAATTCAAAATTCGAGTCTCAATCTCATCTCCATTCTAAATCTTGTCAATTCATAATTTGTTTTCAAATTCAAGTTTCAATCGAGCTCAATTCAATTTCGAGAATTCAATTTCAAAATTCAAAGTTTTACATTTTATTTTAAATTGCAATTCCATTCATTGTTAAGAATATCAAATTCCAAATTCCATATTGTACAAGTCCATGTATTTTTATTCCAAAAAAAGGAAAACTACAAGGCCCATTATGTTTTTTTAGTCCCATGTAGGATATCACCGAAAACAAAACAATCTCATGAGAAATATACAATGCAAACTATACAAGACTTTCCACCAAATTCCTAGTCAGGTTGTCAAATGTACATAGCCACTACACATGAAAATGACAAGGCTTGCTACCAATTTGTAGAAACACGCTGCAATACAAGGGCCCCAACCGTACTGCAACATGGCCCCACCAGCTACAACCTTCATACCCACTATACAAAGTTTCAGTTGATACAAGCCTGCTACCCTCAAGCTGCACAATGTACAACACGCCCCAAAACCACAAATGACAGCCATAAACCTACAAACAAATCACCACATACCACAACAATATCGTACGATTTCAAGAACCACTACACTCACGCATTCCACTCCAGAAATCTTCGTACAAACCTGCAGCAACACGACAACTGCTATCTGCTATAGCTACAACACCAACCTGCTATACTAGCACAACCAAACCTCACAAAACAACCACGAAAACTTGTCAAAAACTCCTGCTACAATGCACCACAACAATCCTGCTACCCCACTCCAACAACCTGCTACGAAACCTGCTTTTACCACAAACCAACAACAATTACCCAACCGTACAAACACCCCACGCCAGACATTCAACGAAAACCTGCTAATATTGGGATTGTGCATTGATATACCTATAATATCACAAGTTCATTTAGCAATAATGAAACCTCGACCCTTTAAATATAGAGTTTATCGAGACTCTGGAGAATATTCAAAAGGGGATGGATGAGCGAGCTCAGACCAACCTCAAATAGGATCTATTGAGCTCGCTAGTATGAAAGAGGGGTCAAACTCTTCCGGCCACAAACTCGACTTCACCTTGAGTAAATAGGTCTCGCTGACTCAAAAATAATTTAAATGTTAATTTCAGATAATAGACATTAAATACTCATACAAAACAGTTAATGACAAGTGGCCATGTTTAAACAAGAAGACATGACCATTAATAGTGTATATATATATATATATATATATATATATATATATATATATATATATATATATATATATATATATATATATATATATATATATATATATATATATATATATATATATATATATATATATATATATATATATATATATATATATATATATATATATATATATATAGGAGTACTATTTACAATTTGTATATATTTAAATTACTAATTCCACAACTAAGTAGGTTAGCTTCCACAATTAAGTAGAGTTACGTGTTGTGTATTTTGTATGAGTACACAATAAAGTGTTTTTTGATAAAGTTTGTAGCAAAGATGTAAAAATTGATGAGTACAAGATTCAAATTCTAAACATGTGCTCAAATTCTTATGAAAGGTATTTTAAAATTTTCAGACTTTTTAAAAGGATTGAGATGGAGGAGACATTTCACATATCGGAAGTCTCTTGACTTATAATTAAATCTTTAGAATAAGATTAAATGTGAACCGATCAACAAGCGAATTTATAAACTACTGTATTTGTTATGATATTTGTTTAGTATTTTGATATATTAGTAGTTACTATTTATATTCTTTTAGTTCTAGAATTTTCTTAAAAATCATACGAAACGATTATGACCCATAGCTGACTACTCCCATCTATTTTTAAAAAAATCTTTTTATTGTATAGGTACTTTCGCTTACTCTTGCTCTTGTTAATTTAAAATAGTTAGAAAACTTCCTAACAACCAAAATAAACATCATGTTACTGTTCAACTTTGGTTTTGGCGGTAATTCAGATAAACTAGTTCATGATAATCGTGAAACCATTGACTTCGGATTATAAGGAGCGAATATTGCTTAAACGATGGTATCTAAGAACATGCCAATAAACAAATATTAAAGTCAACACTTCTCTTCTATTCTCAAAACTATATCAAACCAGTCACCACAAAAGACGACATCAAAGCTTCAACGTGGCAAAACTAACAAAGTTAACAATGGCGAAAAACTGCTTCGACCTCAAAACGATGACGTATTCCTCACCAAGACAACCCATCCACCTTCCCACTGATCCTAATCTCTCCCTAACCTCCTTCCTCTTTCAATCCACTTCCTCCGTCCCCGATACCGTCGCCCTTGCGGATGCTCAAACCGGCGACTCACTAACCTTCCGCCAACTTGAAACCCAAGTCACTGCCGTCTCCCGCTCCTTACTTCGCCTCGGCATCCAACGAGGCGACGTTGTTTTGCTATTTGCACCTAACTCGATACGCTTCCCTGTCTGCTTCCTAGCTATAGTTTCCATCGGTGCTATTGCCACCACATGTAGTCCTTTATACACCGTCTCCGAACTCTCCAAGCAAATCCAAGACTCCAATCCCAAACTCGTCTTTACCGTATTGGAGCTTCTACACAAAATCGAACCATTACCCTTGAATTTACCTGCAATATTGCTTGACGATACTTCAAGCAGAATATTTTCCTCGAATATATTCAGTTCTTTGGTTTGGGACTATGAGGATATTATCGGAGTGTCGAACGAGAGCTCCGACGAGCTTCCGGCAAATGGTATCGTTTCGCAATCCGACGTGGCAGCGATTCTTTACTCTTCAGGAACCACGGGGAGAAGTAAGGGAGTAATGCTGACTCACCGGAACTTCATAGCAACGGCAGTGGCAGGAACGGCGGATCAGGTTTTTTATGGTGAGAGGAACAATGTGTTCTTATGTCTGGTGCCAATGCACCATGTGATGGGATTGGGAGTGATAACGTACACGCAGCTGCGGAGAGGGAATACGGTGGTGATGATGAGTAAATTTGATCTGGAGAAGACTTTGGCAGTTGTGGAGAAGTTTAGGGTGACGCATTTGTATGTTCCTCCAACGGTGCTGGTGGAGCTGGTCAATCAGCGTCACATTGTGAACGGTTATGACTTGTCGTCGATGAAACAACTCGCTGGAGGTGCTGCTCCTGTAGGGAAAGATTTGATGCAAGAGTGTGCTAAGATTCTACCCCAAATTGAAATCATTCAGGTATAGTTAAGAACAATATACTACTGGTCATTCACTATTTTGTATTTGATTGTGATACAAATACATGGTATGTGTGATAATTGTGGCAGGGGTATGGCATGACTGAAGCATGTGGACTTATTTCTATGGAAAATCCAAACGAAGAAGGGTTCCTTTCTGGTTTAGGTTCAACTGGGACACTGCTTCCTAGTTTTGAATCCCAAATAGTTAGTTTGGAAACATCTAAACCCCTACCACCAAATCAAGTAGGAGAGATTTGGTTACGAGGATCTACTATGATGAAAGGTAAGATCTTTGTTACTTATCTTGAACTTTGTTATATTTTAACTTATGGTTAGTAATAACATGATTATGTTTTGAAACAGCTTATTTATATCAGTAGATTACTGAATTGATTCGAGTGTCAGATCTATTACTTCTCCCGTTTGCATTAAACTTACATTGATTCTGATTAGAATCATATATGACATTATTTTCAGGATACTTCAACAATCCAGAAGCAACAAAACAGACAATTAATGACGAGGGTTGGATGATTACTGGAGATCTTGGATATTTTGACGAAAAGGGACAACTGTTCGTAGTGGATCGTATAAAAGAGCTCATCAAATGTAGCGGGTATCAAGTATGTTCAGCATTAACTTAGTGACTTCATTTGTTATCGGTGCATGAAACATCATTGATTGAATACCTAAATCAATATAACAGTGTGGACAATCACTTTCTGATAAACTAGCACATATTCTAATGCTCATCTTATACACATTTCCATTATTAACTAGGTGGCTCCAGCTGAACTTGAAGACTTATTGATTTCTCATCCTGAAATTTCTGATGCTGGGGTGATCCCGTAAGTCATACGTTAATGCAGAACCTGAACTAATTAGTTTTTTGTATGAACATTTAAATTAGTTTACCCAACATTCTAATGATTTAATGACTTATGGTGTGAATTCCAAATCAGATCCCCTGATGCCAAAGCTGGTGAGGTTCCAGTGGCTTTCGTTGTTCGCTCACCCAATAGCTCGATAACCAAAGAAGACATTCTGAAGTTTGTAGCAAAACAGGTATGATAGGAATATTCATTCAGAGAATCATTACTATCAAGTGCAGAAGTAGATTATAAATCATGTTCTCTTCTTTCTGTCATAAACCAATACTCGTGAAGGTCACAATGCAAGACTTTGAAGGTTGCTTGTTTTTTGAATTGCTTCATTTCCTATGTCCAGGTTGCACCATACAAAAGGTTGCGGCGAGTGACTTTTATAGACAAGATTCCAAAGTCACCCACTGGAAAGATCTTAAGAAAGGATCTTGTAATTTTGGATAGACAGTTGATATCAAAGCTATAATACATTAATGCTTTGGAAGGCTCTTATCCGCCACATATTATGAAGATGAACGAAAATACGTCACTGCAGCGAGGTTCTGGTCACTGCAGTGAGCATCATTGCATAATTGTTTTGTTTCCTTTTCCTTTTTAGGTTACTAGTTTAAGAATAAATAAGATTTTATGCCACATGGTTGATTTCCTTTTTAGCAAGTATTTTGTAACCCGATTTTCAAAATAAATGCAAAATTTTCAATTCACAACAGCACGTCTGTGTCTCTTCATCTGTGAGCTTACTAGTTTAAGAATAAATAAGATTTTATCAATATCAACATATATTTTCACCTTGATTTTTTCTCTTTTTGATAAATTGTTAGTAAAAAATGTAACTTTTTACAAATGAACTCTGGCGGTGTAATCTAAAATTTGAGTTGCATCCTATTAGATTCTTAGATTATAGGTTTATTAATTTCTTTAAGACCTACTCTTTTTTATGACTTTTTTGAAAGATGTGTTGTTATTATAAAAAATGGGAGAATGTGAAACGATGTGTTTGTAGGTTCAATTAAGAACTGATCAAAATTAAGCACGTCATAGTTTGGTTTTGATGATGACAATTTGGTTTTACTAATTGCAACTTATGAAGATGATGCAATCTTTGATGATGACTTATGAAGACTCAATCTAATCCTAAAGCATAAAGTCAAGAATGTCAAATGGCTAAAGATGCACAAGAATGTTTTTTCAAAGCGCTTCTTCTGAATCAAGCTGATCAACTAGGATTTTAATAATCAACTAGGATTGTATGCTTTTGAAATAAAATCTGCTGATGATGTACAAGCATTGTTTCAAATTCCTAAACACCAGAGATATAAGAAAGATAATCCCTTGTCAACCCCTTTGAGCCTAGTAGTAGGAGTTTTTTTTTTCTGAAAATGAAAAACCCTCAATCTTAACCTGGGGCGGGGTAGGTGTCATCTAATTTGACCGAGCATCCAAATTGCAATAGGTGTGTTCCCGTTCAAGGGTCAATCGCACCTGTATAGGTCGGGCCTAAAGAACCGCAATGGTTAAACCTTGCCGACCAAAGAGTGAAACAGTCACAATCCTTCAACAAGTCAAACAAGCCGATGTCGCACGATTTGTTCAAAAAAAAGAAGAGAGAACAAAGTTCGCTAAGTCGAATCTTGAAAACAAGCGACTTAGGCAAAAATGAGGGCATCCCGCTGGACTTTGAAGTCAGAAGAAGCTCAAAAGAGTCAGTTCAGGCAAAAGTTAGGGAAATAAAAAAATGATGATGAAAAACAAATCGTGTGATTCCAGGCACCAAAGACGAAAAAGCAGGTGATTGTCGCTCCAAAAACTTGTGGTTTCCCGAACCATCACTCCTGTCATTCAACCTCTGAGAGGTGAGCGCTAGTGTCGAATTAGCTGAACATAGAATTGGAGAACATCACGGAGAACGGGTGGGTTAAAATAAACTTTGAGCCTTTATCCTTTCTTTGTAAACCGTGAACCTGACCAAGTTACAACCTGAAAGAGTCCTAATTGAAGCAGGTTTGTTTCGAAAGTATACTTCAGTAAAGATCACATCGAAACTGACTCCTAAAAGGATTCCTCTTACAGTATTGTATTATTGTTGATATGTTGATAAATGACTCGTTCATTATATGTCACAAATTTTTCCAGTGAACAGATTGGATTTCAAAACTGTCATATGCATTGCATTTAATATATCTTTTATGCAGGACAATTTGTTTTACTTGTGAGTAAGCGCTTGACAGCAGGAAAGTTTCCACAGTGGAAAGATTGATCAGGATAGAATGCAGAATGCCTGAATACTCCGTCAAACTGGGGCAAGTTATATCAAATGATCACAACATGGGAGTCAGCCATCTAAAAGTCAATTAATCTGAGGCAGTCAGGTCGAGATTCGGTGAATTTCTCGCAGCCAAGAAGCACTTTCCCCACAGATCAGCCAATCAGGGGCAAAGTCATTGTAAGACTGGGGCAGGCCACCCTAAGAGCGCAGAAGCTATTTATCCGTAGGGCAATTAATATGAAGCACCTCTATGAGGTTCAAGGTGTTTAGGCAGTGCATATCAAGTTGTCGGGGTATGAGATTTCAGATTTCTTTTTGAGGAATATCCCTACAGAGATCCCACAGGCTGGGGCAAATTTGGAAGCGCAGGAATTGTTTCTCTCCATATCCTCAGAGCTATTTGTTGCACCCCAAAATTTGACCAACATTTATTTACCCATCAAGTGTTTGAAAGTTGATACCTTCATCAGAAAGTTCAAGAGATCCCCAGAGGAATTGGGTGAAACCAAGGTTGTGTGTCTCATAACTTGAGAGTTGTGGGTGCTCCTCAGATGATTCTGAGACTTTGAGAATGAACTTGAAGCTTTGAGAAAGTTTATGAGATGTCTTGATAGCCATTATGAAGCTAGAGAGGTCATTATGCAAGAATTCAGAAGATTCAACCATGAGTGGTAGAATTAGGGTTTTGACTGGGTCAACCCTGGGATAACTGAAGATTTGGAGAAGGTTGAGACCTAATCCAAGGGCCATGAGATCATGGAATGATGTATGGAGATGTTATAAAGATGATTCATAGACCAACTCATCATGATTGAGGAGTTTGAGAAGTTTTGAGTTAGGGTTTCCAGGGATTGTCAGTGAAAAACCCTAATTTGACCCCTACCTTCCAGGCAGTTTTAGCTCAAGATGTGATTGATATCTGATGGGCTAGAGACGTGTCTACTTATGCGTCTAGCGGTATCTTACTGCAAGTGCACAGCCTATCGAAGTAATATTTAAGATTATCGATCCACAGGGATTCTATCGTTACTTAGTGCTAGATGAACTTCTAGTTTAGCTAAGGCGAATAGTTGTCACGATTGTTGTTGGTTTTCTAAGACTATTGAAGGCGGAATTAAATTCAAGTTTTTAATAAAATAATACTAAAACGGTCGGTATGTAATTATACTAACTTAGGTGGGTCAATCTAACCTAGGCTTATAAAGATGTTCACTTAATCTATTCGGTAGAGATTACTAGTTTAAATACCCTCAACTCACACTCTCGTGGTCTTATATCAGATCTTATCCCTAAAGCCCTATGCCTGCTCTCGCTAGCCCATAAGTGTTTAGAGGTAATTTTTGGAAACTAAATAATTCTAATTTATCTTAAAGCGCTCTCGCTGTATTTAATTTAAATGCCTAACTTTAGCTATCTGGTTAAAATCTCACACTCTCGTGGTCTTGACCCAACCTAATACCCTTTTTCTTACTCTCGTAACGAAAAGGTCGAATTCAATTAAAAAGCATCAGCCAGAATGTTAAGTGATTAATTATTTTAGCCCATGGTTATATTTTACCGGTTAAGTTGGTTATAACTACATACCGCCCTAAGGTATTTAGCTACTCATCGGGGTTAAATCAGACTCAGAGTTAATTATTGACTTACTAATGGCAGGAAAATAAATAGACATCATAAATAAATTAAATTGCAATAATTGAAAAACCTGATTAACAAATATCTGAGTAGACTCCTTCTTCCACAGACCGGAAGGCTTGGAGTAGGCGGAAATAAAAATTAAAACGAATGCTGAAGGCTGGAAACAGATAAAAGTATAACAATTCCCTAATGTTGGAAATTGTTACACGGTTGGTTTGGATACAAATAAAATAAGACAGGAAACAAAATAATGCTGAAAAAATAATTCTGGTGGTAAGGTAATTCGGCAGAGCTTCCGCAGGAAATTTGGATACTGAAGTCTGTCCCTGAATTCTCCTGAGCTGGTCCTATTTATAGAGCTTCCAATGGGCTGGTCCTTGGTCTTTTGCTTCTTGGGCTTTGCTGAAGTGGTTGAGAAAATGTTGGAAAGTGGCAGCAGAAAATGGGAGAAGTCTTCCTCACGTGCTGCCTTGAGGAGAATTACTAGGAGGAGTGGGCTTCACTGGTGGCTTGACGTAGTCTGAGTCAAAATCAAGTTATATCCTTGTCACGGGCGTGACAAGGTCTTCACGCTCGTTGTTTGATGATTTCAAGTGTCACGGTCGTGACTACTTCCTCACGGTCGTGATGGCCCAAAGTAAGGTGTCACGGTCGTGACACCCTTGTAACGACCGTGGTCGTAACAAATTATGCAGAGTTTATGCAGGCTTCTGTCTTGCTTCATTTCTTGTGGTTTCTTTGTTCTTTTCTTCTTAATTCATGATTTGGCCTCACATAACGATGTACCTGCAAAATAGTAAGAAAAACTCGAGAAATCGAGCGTTAAAACGGTGAATGCGCGATAAAAGTCAATGAAATCTAGCGATATAACCGATGCGTTTTCTCGTCATCAAACTTCCCCAAACTTAAACCTTTGCTTGTCCTCAAGCAAATAGTCGGTTGAAAATCGGCGGACAAGATTTTATTCGCGCATACTCATAGCAAACCGTCCGGTGGATCGTTTCGTCGGATAGTCCGGTACTTTGATAGAACACTACCGATACACTAATGACATAAGCAACAGGCTATGTCGTCGACTTCCCGTCAAGCGAAACAATCGGCAATCACATTACGATTTCACCTAGAGTTTTTCGATCTTATTTCACCCGGTTTCGTTCTAGCGCAGTCACATTAAGCCCTTTGCCTTCGCACGCACGTAGTGGAGTAGCCGGTTAGCGATTTTGATCCTTTTTTAGCACGGGGTCTGGTACACGAGTGTGGTAACCCCTTCATGTTTTATCCGATGCGGAGGTTGTGGGGGATCGAGCCGTAGCACGCCCTACCGAGTTCAGAACCAGTACCTCTGAACCAACCCGAAACGGAGTCCTTCTCATATTTCTCGTTTCTTATCTGCGACCGTGTACTTTGGTGCAATCTCTTTTCATTTTGCATTGAGATACGAAGGATCATTATTGATCAGGATCAAACGCTTATATTCATCGGCTCCCCACGTGGTTTGTGTTCAGACGGTGCTGACTGCTAGTATAAACTACTGGGGGTTACTTTTGAACTGAAACTAAAGG